CCCCCCCCCCCCCCCCCCCGCCATGTCATGTCATGTCATGTGTGTCTGTACTCCCTAGGTGGATAGTCGTGCTGCTGCAGAGTCATCGGACCCCCACACGTGGTTGTATCGCTTCGATGGGTGCCCCGCCATGCCCCCTGACATAAAGAAGAAGGTCCTCTGCCTCGGACAGACGCGCATCGTCATCGGTAACTCAGTGGAGAGGAGAGATGCAGACACACATATAATCAGCCAGCACAGTACAGCACAGCATCCACACTGACTGAGGCGCATGCACGTGTATGTTGATCAATCGGGTGTGTGTAGGTCCCACGGCCCCGGTGAATGGGCCCCCGTTGGTGCGACACGCCACGGCCGTGTTGCAGTCACACGCACATGATATCGTTGCTCTCGATCCGCCTGTCCCTCTGGGTAAGTAGGCACCCACCCGACACGCACATACATCTACATCTTGCGTTTGTCCATCCCTCCTTCTGGGCGGTGTGTGTTCAGGCGAGGCGTGGACTATCGCAGTGTTCATCAAGCCGCCGCTCGGCGACCCCCCGGTCAGCTCTCCCTCCCTCACACACACATACACAAACATAGGGAGAGAAGGGATGGATCGATGGATGGATGGATGGATGCAGGCCGAGTCTCGCAGGACGACTCCACCCTGGCGCACGCTGGTGCGCGGCTGCGACCCACTACCGAACGGAGCCAACATCAATGGAGACCATCAGGTAGGTACATGGGTGTCACCAACACCACAGCAATGCAGCCCCTGTGTGTGGACTGTGGCGTGTGTCAGATATTGTTCAAGCGCCGCCCTGGCTCATTCACGCTGGGCTGCTACCTCAAGTGAGCCAGGGAGCCTGAGGCGTGTTGTGACCTGGGTATATATATGTGTGTGTGTGTGTGTGTGTCAGCAACAAACAAGCGGCCGAGCAGCACGCCCGGCAGTGCTCCGCCCGTTCCCACTGTAGGGCGTGTCAGAAGGTCAGTCAGCTGGGAGAGAGAGGGACCGACTGGAAAGGAAGAGAGACCGTCCTTTCCTCTGTGCATTGCATCAGTTGCTGGACGGCAGCGAGAATGCCTACGGTCCGCCCAAGAAGGGCAGGCAGCCGCCGCTCGAGTTCTTCTTCAAGATGTCCGGCAACGCAGACATGTTCAACGACTTCCAGGGATGGCACGCGTACGCCGCCCACACGGCCACACAACACAGACAGATGTTGCACTGGTTGATGTGTGCTGTGGTGTGCTGTGTGTGCAGGTTGGTGGTGGTGGGGGAGGGCGGCCGACAGCGCTACTACGTCGACGGGCAACTGGTCGGCAGCACCTGTGTGCAGTCCAAGACATATGCCTTCACCATCGGTACGCATCCTCACGGGCAGGACAGGGCCGAGAGAGAGGGGGGCGGACATGTGTCATGCATGTGATGTGATGATACGTCTTTTGTGGTTTATGTATGTTGTGTATGTGTCGTTTCCTGTCCTGCAGGCAACTACATCAAGGGGGGCCAGGCACTCTGTGCGCCGATCGCTTCGTTCCGCATTGTGAGTCATCGACACGCATCCATCCAGTCTGTCTGTCTGTTGCACTGCACGTGTGCATTCGCCCTGTTTGTGCCTTTTGTGTGTGTGTGTGTGTGTGTTGGTCCTCTCTCTCAGTGGCACCGTGCCTTGTCTGTGCCGGACATCCGGCGCGTGTCCAACTTCCACTGGACGTACACACCACCCACCCCGCAGGAGCCAGAGCCGTCACCCACATACACACCACAACAGACAGACATGCCTATCTGAGCCGCATCCCAGATGGCCTTGTAGCAGGTAGCAGCAGATGCATACACACGGGCATGCCATGGGTGCGGCGGGGCGGGATGGTTCTGACTATTTCATGGAGGGTGTAGATTGATTAGCTCAATTGGCTGGCCTGCTGGCTACGACAGTGTGTGGCTTGCTCCAGCGTCTACACTCGGTGCTGTCGATGCTATCTGACGGCCATTCTCTCATGGCCTTCGGATACCGTCGGATGCACGAGGGTCTTGGTGCTGGAGCAGCCACACACGTGGCGGGCGGAACGATCGGCGATGCTGTACCGTACCACACGAAAGCCAGACACACTGACTGACTGACTGACGATGGATCGGATCAGGCAGGCAGGCAGGCAGGGATGGATGGATGCAGGGAACAGGCAGTCAGACGATGTAGCCACACGTGTAGATACAGAGAGAGAGAGAGAGAGATGGACGACTTATCGACAGACACCCGAAGAGAGAGATGGAGATGGATGGATGGATGGAGGCGGCCGTGTAGCATAGCATCCTTCCTCACATGAACGTTCATGTATCTATCTGGCTAGTTTTGACTCGCTCACTAGGAGCATTGGCCCCTCCCCTCCTCCAGCCCCCGGCCTGCCAGTTTGCCTGCCTGCCTGCCTGCCTTTGTAGATAAACAAACGAGCACACACACACATTCTTGCGGGTGAAAGGGACATGTATGTCTGTCTGCATCCATGGCATGTGCGCACGTGTTGATTGATGCAATGCATGCATGAGCTTTGATGTGTTCTCATCGCAAATGGTGCATGGTGAGAGCATGAGCTGATAAGACTTCACACGGACAGTGATATGACGGTCGGACCTTTTGCCTAGGCGCTCTGAATGAAAGAAATTTCCCACATGCGACGAATGAGTTGGAGACAGTTAGGTCGGGTCTGTTAACTAACGAGGAGCGATCCGTGTGATCCCCAGGGGCTCACCCCCTCAGATTCACTCAAGAGAAAAACCAACGCCC